ATATATATATATATATATATATAGAACAAATATGAGACGTCCAAACTCTCATAGTAGATTTGGAGATGAAGTAGAATGCAAAAAATAGAGACCAAAATGGAAAAGGAGGCCCTACGGCTCCAAGTTTTATTTATAGCTATCGGCGCCTAGGTGCCATGACTCCGACTCAAACATCTTCCATAGATATTTTTCTTCATTCCAAAATTTTTTTCAAGTACAATACAAATTCTTACTTCCAATGAGCTTCCAAATAGAATTTCAATTAAAATTTGCCAATTAAAATTGAATGAGATTTCAACAATAGTATTTCAAATAGAATTCTTCTTAATGTGCATTTTAATTAGAATTTTTAATTATCTTTAACAAAAAATTCGGGTTACATCAAATTCTAACAATCTCAACATTGACCCTAATTCCACTGCAATGAATAAAATTTCAAACATTCTCCACTTGTAGACAAATTTCACTGTAAGGAATAAATTTGAACTCTTCAATAAAAAATACAAACGAACTTCTCTATAAAAAAAAAATTCAACTGGAAATATTCTTTATCTCTGATACCTCCAATTAGGGGAAAAATTGATATAATGACTACCAAGTAAGGTTTAAACAAGCCCTGAAACAGAATCACAATTGAATGCATCAAAAGAAGGATCTTGGCTATAATAAACACCCTTAACTACATTCAAATCATCAACAAAATCAACAGAATTGTACATATGTGAAATCTTTTGGCAAGAAATGGGTCTATTTTTAGCAATTGAATACGATGAGACGGTCAATAATGGCGGCAAGACAGATTTACCCATATTTTCAAAATTCAACTGAGATGTATTTTTAAAAAAAGACCCATAATTAGATTCCAATGGTACAGAAACCAACTCTAAATCCACTCGAGCTCTTAAAATATCTTGATTACTCGAAAATTCTATATCACCCTACAGGATATATAAATAAGATTTTCTATCCCATAAGCACAACACAGACTCCTTTGATAACTTTCAGAACTTTACTTTCAATGGTATATCTGTACACTTTTGAATCAAGAATACTTAAGGAGATAAAATTTTTCTTCAGATTTGGAACATGTCTCACTGCATCAAATGTTTTAAATGTCCCGTCAAACATCTTTATTCTAACCCGACAAATATCAACTATCCAACAAGATGTGTTATTACCGGTTATCACAACACCTTTTGAAACTTATTCATATGTTGAAAATAATTCCCGATTGGTTGACATATGAAAAGTGCAAGTTGTATTAAAAATTCAAGCCTCATTAGGTTTGGAATTGTAGTCAAATATAAGTAGAAACTCTCCATCACTGCTAGAATTTTGTGCAATACTTGCTTTTTCTGAAGTTTTTGATTGTTAATTTATAGTTGACTTTGATTTATTCTCTAACTTAAAACAATCGTTTATCAAATACCATTTTTCTTGCAATAATTACAAAATTTGAAGTTAAATATTGACTTGCCCCTCGAACGGCCCCATGAAAAATGAGATCATCTCCATGATCACCATATGCTACAAGATGTTTCATCTTCTCCTTTGAATATAAAGTACCGTAGACTTCTACAATGGTGAAAGTATCATGACTATATAATATCGTTTCTCTAAAAGACATATATGAGGCGGGCAATGGACACAGTAAAATCAATCCTAAATCTTCTTCATCATATTTGACTTCAAAGGTCTCCATATCAACGATGATTTCATTAAAAGCAGTTGGGTGATCTTCAAAAAATGTACTTTCTATCATACAATGAGAATATAGATGTTGCTTCAAATGTAATTTGCTAGTAAGACTCTTCGTCATGCATAATTGCTCTAATTTTAACCATAATGCAACAGTTGACTTCTCATCCAAAACGTTCCGAAGAATATTATTTGAAAAATGAAGATGTATTTGAGATATGACCTTTCGATCCCTCCGTTTATCCTTCACAGTCCTAGTTGTGGGCATCTTGTCAAATCTCAACAATGCGTTGTTTAAATCCATCTGAATGAGTACTGCTCGCATCTTTATCTGCCACACAAATAATCTTGTATTGCGATCTAATAGCAAAATATCATACTTCATTGTTGCCATCACGAAAACATCGATCTTCCCAAGAATTTCAACACCAAAAGCTTTGATACCAATTATTATGAACTAGAATGCTCTGATACCATTTTGTTGTGAAAAGTGAAAATAATACCGAATTAATACAATACCAAATTGTTTGAGAAAATAAGATATTATAGTCACAATATGAAGTAATTGATTACAAGAACACGATAATAAAATAATTTTGCAGAGAATTGAGATTTTACGAAAATATGGAGAAAGTATAAAAATATTATGTGTTTACAATGTTTCTAACTTCTTATGGAAAAAACCAACCCAAACTAAATTGTAGAGGAGTCAAATATATATAGAGGGAACAAATAAGGGACGTTCAAACCCTCATAATAGAGTTGTGTATGAAATAAAATGCCAAAAACAAAGTCCAAAATGAAAAAGGATACAAACAACATGCGGTGCCGCGACACCAGTCCAAAATGGAAAAGGAGACAAACAGTGTGACTGGCATCATAGTGCCACTCTTCGGGCGCCACAGCGTTGGTAGAAGACTTCGTTGTTTTATTTATAGTTGTCGGGGCCCAAGCCTCGTCTCCGACCTAAACACCTTCCATATATATTTTTCCTCATTCCAAAGTCTTTTTCGAGTCCAACACAAATTCCTAATCCTAATGAACTTCCAAATAGAATTTCAATTAGAGTTCTCCAAGTAAACTTGAATGGAATTTCAAAAATAACATTAAAAATAGAATTCTTCTTAATGACACTTTAATTAGAACTCTTAATTATCTTCAACAAAAAATTCGAGTAATACCCAAATTCTAACAAGAAGGAATTCAACTAGCTTGACAATCGACTTGTTTACAAACATAGACAAAGAACTTCATCAAGTAAAATGGGAGAACACACTCCTAATCCCCATAAAATACATATTAGGGGATAAACACAAGTGGGTTAAGTAAGAGACTACGTAGTGCTGAAACCGAAATATCGTATACAAGAAAACTACAGACCAATTCCAATTATACATGGAATTGTCTTCAAAGCCACAAAACAAAATAATTTGACAATAAATATTTCTTATATTTTATGTATTCTTTTAGTTGTCAAATGCTGCCCTAGGGCACAGGATCACACTCAGAAAACAAAATCCACTTTAGAAATGCCACTAGCCTCTTCAATCCAGGGAAGGTACAATCCCAATTTGCCATTTTCTGACCAATTGAATCCAACTTCAGAACCATTGAGGTAACATCTCTTAGGTGACACACTGGAATACGCCAAGAAATTCCCTCCTCCCTTCACTTCAATTTCCACACTGCTCTTATTGTAAACCAAGCCTTGAATTGTTCCTCCGCTATTGAACATATTGGTTAGTCCGAATGGGGCAAACTTCAATGATCGGTCAAGTTTCTTGACCGGGACGAAGCTAAAAATCTCGAATGTAGATGGCAGAATAGTGATTGGAATGGCCTCAGAGTTGCTCGTTGTTAAAATTAGTTTCTCGGCCTCGCTAAAATAGACTGCATATTCTTCTGATTCTCCCATTTCAGTTGCTTCTTTCTTCTGATCCCATTCAATGTCACTCACAGGAACAGAACCAGAAACTGGCTTGTAACACTGGGGGTAGCCCTTTATCCTTTTCTCCTTGGGATCCCATCCAGCACCTTGGCAGTTGAATGCACCAACCACACCTCCATACTGTTAAATTTTGCAATCAATTAAACAACATCCAAATATGAAAGAAAAATTATCGATTTTTTGAAGATAACTAAGGTACCTTGTTGATGTTCCAAATTTTAAGAATGGTTTTGCCGTCAAAGAGGGGGTTCTTGAAGAGGCAATCTCTTGTTGGGAGAGCAGAAAGTATGCATTTGGGAATGGTACCATCAGGAAATACAAGTTTCTTCAACAGATTAAAATCATGACCACCCACGGAATCACTCACATACACCGGCCCCCCAGAGATAGCCCGAGATCCGGCATGGAATTTTGCACACAGATGGTCCGATTGGAACATGTCCCAATCTGGTTGTATAAACTGACCCATCCACAAGCTGTTATAGGCACAATGGATCATATGGACACCTTGTAACCAATAAACTCCCATTGGATCACCATTAGGATCTTGGAACCAGAAGTCATCCCCTATTCAGAAAAGGTTAAATGCAAAGGCAATATATTAATTGCCACGTTTTCAAAAGATTCTCATTTCCAAAAGATTGAAGTGTACGATGACATGGGAAAGACAAAAAGGAAAAGAAAAGAAACTTACCAACTCTTCCCATAGATATCTCCTGAGTTCCGAGTAAAAAGAAGTCATTGCATTGTTGCATGCTTGATATCAGTCCAGATCCATTGAAGTTCTTGGCAAGGGACTTTGACAGCCCTTTATAATAGGCCTTTGCAAGCCCAACCCTACCTCCATAATCCTCGGATACATATTCAAGTGTCTGTATTAAAAAGGTTTATTAGTTTCTTAATCACATAAAATTAACTATAGATACTGGAGTAACAGAAACTTACATGAATCACATCCACTTTGACTCCTGTAATTCCAACTTTAGAAAGGTAAGAGTGCATCGAGTCATAGAATTCTTCGGCTTGATCAGGATGGACAAGTCCAATGGAACCCTCAACAATTTTCACCACAGCAAGATCCTCCATGGTTCCACCAAGTCCAGGGGACAGTTTGCACGGGACAATTTTCGTATCAAGGTGAGTCGTTCCCGGCCTCACTCCTCCCCAAGCACCACATAACGCGTGCCAGACGTATATATCATCCAATCCTTTGAAATTAGTCCTCAAATCCCTTGTGAAAGCTTTCATTCCAAAATTTTCGGATTTGAAAGAACCATTTACACATTCTTGGATTGAAGTTTTTTCTTCTTCTCTGCCAAACATTTCATCCAAATCCCTATACAATTTCTCAATTTGGACATCATATTGAGACAAATCAGTGATCCCAGATTTTGCTGCCTTATTGCGAGCTTTTTCAGCAAATTCAATCTCAATGGCCTTTGAAATCAACATCTTCGGCTTCTTGGGGTCAAATGGAGAACTATTAAGCCCCAGCATGGATCCACTCCTATACTTCCTGAATTTTTCACATTCATCAAACCTGTGAAGCCTGGCAGTCATTTGAGTCCCTCCAAGAACCAGATTTTTCGCATCCTCATTCGGGTTTTGTCCATCGAAGTTGATACTTTGCCAGCCATCATCAATAATGAGAAACCTTGGGGAGAGACCGCCATCCGAGAACTCTTTCACCCCATGCCAGATTCCAGTTGGTTCTACAGTTAAGTAAAATGCATCCCAAGTGCACCAACCAAATTTATTTATTAGAGATGGAACTGATTTTTCTTCCAAAAGTCTGCATGTATCGAGATGGACTCTAATAGCGCTGTATGCCTCTTTCATCAAATTGTATGGATTTTCAGAGACATGAACATAGGCAATAGCATCAAAAGATGATGATTTCTCCTGTGTAGAGCCACTTTCAGCACAGATCATGACATGACCTTCAGTTCCAGGGTGAAAGGCAGACCTGAATTTGCGTTCAATTATTGGTATAATGACAACATAAGACTTTGTTTCAGGCACATCAAACAATATCCATTGTGTTTCCATCTGTAAATCCGAACCCGAATTCCCAACCCACTGAGTAGACCACCATGTTTTGAACCTGAAAATGCTGAGAAAATCCCTTCCACTAAATTTCCCCAGGGAGTTTGTTAGCCTGTCAGAAGATTCATCCTTGCTGAATCCAAGGAATCCTCCCTTGAAAGACAGGGATTGGACACGCTCAAACAGTGGAAGGGGAGCATCAGAGGATTGGCATATTGAAGAAAAACTTTTAAAGGTGACATTCCTTGGAATTTCAGTGAGAAGAGGCACATTTGTCACACAAAGCTTGCCATCAACAAGTTCGAAGAGGTTATGTCTTTCGCTGGATTTGAGGACATGGAAGATTGAGTTGGCAAGATCATTTGGGGGTGCCATAGCTAGTTAGCAACAGAGGAAAACAGGGGAGGAGGTCACAGTGTATATGAATTATACAGGAAAATTTATTGAATTACAAAAGAACTATAACACACAGACTGGAAACGGGAAAAATATACCGAAGTAATTGAAGCTTAAAATTTTGAAGTTTCTAATGGAGGAGCTATATATGCAGATGAAAGTTTAACAGAAGCTGGAAACAGGAAAGAAAGACAAGAATTTTTAAGAATCACAGAACAGGAAGAAAGTTAAAGTGGAGAAAATTTATAGAACTTAGAACTGAAGATGTGGTCGTTTGGTATAGACACATGGAAAACCGAGAAGTGAGGACCCATATATATAGAGAAAGCAAAACGGAAAAAGAAAAAGGAAACAAGAATGAACAAATGAATAAACAGAAGGAAGGTGGGGCTAGGAAAGTGAATTAAAGAAAAAAAAAATGAAAGGAAAGGAAAGGTGTAGAGATACGAGTTGGCGGTGGTGATGAAAATGGGAGGAAATTGAAGAATCTGGTCTTTGGGGCACTGTATGCCATCTTATTCTTCGTTTTCCTTTTTTTGTTACTATTTATTTTAGGAACGACAAAACAAACGTGACGGAAAAGATGTTGCTGAGACAGATAAAAATAATATTTTTAGACGTACATTTTGTTTACATTTTAGTTGACATAAAAATATCAATATTGCTATATGTACATTTTTATTTACATTTTAATTGACATTCTCTCCGTGTGGCATAATTTGAGTAGTGATGAATTTATTCCAAAGAAAAGAAGATACAACAAATGAAAAAAGAGAACACTATATCCATGGATACATACATCATACATGCACATCGCACTTGCCCATGCATGCATGTATTATTCAGTTCATATTTGAGCTACATTAAAATTTTCACTATCATTTTTCTATTCATTTTCAACCACACATTCTTCAATAATGCCCTGTTTGAGCCACATTATTTTTCTCATTCTCATTCTTCTACTTATTTTCAACCACACATTCTTCAATAAAATAATATGTTTCATTACATCAATAATTTTTCCTTCCTTTTCAACCACATATTCTCCATCACATCAACAGTAAAAATGTATTCTTACTCCCAAAATGTGTACCAAATAGGGGCCAAAATAATATTTTACATTACATTAATAATTTTTCCTTCTTTTTCACCCACACATTCTCTATCAATTTACTATTTCAAAATACATTCTTTTAAAATAATGTGACTCAAACACACCCTCAATTGTTTATAGGCCAACTCCTTTTTGTTTTATTTTAGCTTGTTAAATTAAAAAATGAAAAAAAAATTATCTTATCGTTTTGAATTTGAAAGGTTGGTGGTAGAGATTTTAAAAATAAAAAACTGATTGGCTGACATTATGGAATTAATTAGAAAAAGAAATTGTTGACTAATGGAGGCTAAATATGGAAGACAATTGATGCAGAAAATGGCGGATTATGAATTGTAGAGATGATAAAGATAAACCTGGAAAGTTCTAAATTGAAGAGTGCATACTTGTTGAAATTAGATTGGCGAGCACTGTGCACACCGTACGCTTGATGTAGGTGAATAAGGTGTGAAATGAGATTAGTAAAAGGTACCGAAATTGTGTCGGCATCTCTCATTTGCTCTTTATTGCAAATCAGAAGATATCAAGGTGTAATGTGTAAAAGGTATCGAAATTGTGTCGGCATCTCTCATTTGCGATTGATCGAGGTGTTAAAAATATATTAGTAAAAAAACTGTTTCAAGAGTTTGACACTCATTCTCATTCTCATTCTCATTCTCATTCTCAACCACACATTTTATCAATAAAATAATATTACACATAAACCTAAAAATTCTCCTTACTTTTTAACTATATATTCTTTCATCAATCATTATTCAAAAACACATTCTTCCACAAAAATGGGTGTCAAACACCCCTAAATCTGAATTTGTACAAAATATAGTAAAATTAATTATACTTTACCATTAATTTTATGAATACTTTTAATACTCGCGAGGTTCCAACAGGATCCAGGGGTTCATCATGTTGTCTGTATGTTCAGCTGCACCGAAATAAATGACTTCGTATATTTTTCAATTTAAAAATAGTCAAATCTCAAAACAATTGTTGGCTTCCAAGTAATTAGGAGTGTCAATGAGTCTACCCGAAACTTGAGGGTCGGATTCGACTCGAGTAAAAATAGTTCGAGTTTTTTTAGCTCGAGTTGAGCCGAGCTCTCGCCCGGCCAAAAAAAATTAGTCTCGACTCGACTCACGAATTATTTTTTATTTTATTATTCTAATCAGTCGTACCTGGTTGGTTTTTTAAATTTATTTTTTTAAAAAAACTGGTAGCAGCTAGCTGCCTGCAACGACATGGTGTCAAGCAATTACGTGTAGCTGCCTGATTTTTTTTTAAAAAAATTTAAATAAAAGTTGCTGCATGCAAAGGGTTTTTTTTTTTTTAAGGTCTGGCTCATCATGGGCCGAAAATAGCCCGTGACATGGACCGACTCGGACTTATTCCGGGCCGAGCCACAGGGCGCCAAAGTCGGCGAGCAAAATTGACACACCTACAAGTAATGTATGTACTTTGACTTGATTTTATAGGAATTTTGTCCTTGTCTCAACTTCATTTTTTCCATCAAAATATATCTTGAACATTGATTTGATCTCATTTCAATCACATATTTTCAAGATCGAAAAAGGATTCTCGTAGAAAGACTTTCTACAGTGTCAAGTCTCAAGGACGAAAACCTGACTATGGGGCCTTCTCCCGCAGAAGGGAATCTAGGGTGGCAGCATCAATCAATCCCTGAGNACTTTGGGGAGTGCCAAAGCTAGCAATCAGTCGGAGAAATTGCAATGACATTTTCTCCACCAAAAACTCCAAAACAAAGTTTTCAATTATCCAAAGTCCTTTTACCAATCAAAGTTTCAATCCTTGATGAATTTTAATCCCCTTTTCAACCGGACCTCCAAATCAAGAAGACTTTTGTTCCAATTATCAATTTACCAACACAATCCTAATTTCAATAGGAAAATGATATTTTTTGCGCTCTTCAAAATGTTATTGGACCTTAATTTAGTACTATTCCCATTAATTGTTCATGGGAAAAAGGAAAATTAAACAAGTTTTGTTGTGCTATTTTCACAATTTCAGTGATGTTGTCAAATAAAATATTAATAAAAATAATTATATTTTAGAACCACTAATACCCACAATTCAATGAGAAGAGGAATAATAAAAGTAACCGAGATTGATGGGAGGGGCACTCTTTACTGAAATATTTATTCGGAGGGTGAACCAACCAAAAGGCGTAAGAATAGCTTTAATTTTGTTCTTTAGGCCAATTTCAGGCCTATATTTTATTTCCTCTACAAGAGATGTTCAATTCCCTTCATCTTTTAATTCGGCTAGATAAGATTAGCCTTTACTTTAGCATTCGTGACACTTCGTATATTTACTCATTCCCCTCAGTTGTCTGTAAAGAACCCAAGTAACATGTTTTAGATAATAATAACGATATTAAAGTTTGCATTTGTTTATCTATTATTGATAAGTGTATTTTATACACTTATTCGGGCTCCAAATTATGACATTTTGTGGTTCTTTTAATGGGATTATAGCCTAATTTATAATATAATGTGTTATTAGGTGAAACTCGATGGATGAATCTTTAAAAGAATGGGTGCCAAACAAGCCCAAAATATTAATAAAAATAATTATATTTTAGAACCACTAATACCCACAATTCAATGAGAGAGGAATAATAAAAGTAACCGAGATTGATGGGAGGGGCACTCTTTACTGAAATAGTTATTCGGAGGGTGAACCAACCAAAAGGCGGAAGAATAGCTTTAATTTTGTTCTTTAGGCCAATTTCAGGCCTATATTTTATTTCCTCTACAAGAGATGTTCAATTCTCTTCATCTTTTAATTCGGCTAGATAAGATTAGCCTTTACTTTAGTATTCGTGACACTTCGTATATTTACTCATTCCCCTCAGTTGTCTGTAAAGAACCCAAGTAACATGTTTTAGATAATAATAACGATATTAAAGTTTGCATTTGTTTATCTATTATAGACAGTACTATATGTATCTCCACTAAAGACTACCATTACTTTCTCCTCCAAATCCACCACCATCACCGCCACTACATTCTCCACCCCTTGTGAATTTAACCAAAAAAATAAAATAAAATAAAATGCTATTGGTCGTGATCAATGTGGCGAATTAACGGTATTGATCATCATCTTGCAATTTACAAATGCCCCAAATTGTTGGAAAAATTGGTTTTAATTAGTTGGTTTAACCAACTTTTGACCAATTATTTTAGTGGGTACCGTTAGTTGAATAAGAGATTTTTTTGGCCGTGTTCTACTCTATGAGTAAATTAATGTAATGTATTTTTTTTTTTTTCAAAACCAATTTATCTCCCTCTATGTTAGTTATTTTTGGGATATCAATAGTCACCAATCACAACTTATATTATTTATTCTTCTCTCACAAATATTTTTATCCAGTTAGTGGACAAAATATTTCTTTGGTCGAGTGTGTTCTACTCCATGAGTAATGTATTTATTTTCTCAAAACTAATTTAAGGTGAATGAGAAATGAAGGCCAAAAGATGACCACTTGAAGTTGAAATAAATTGGGAATAAAAATTGGTGAGAAATTGAAAAATGACAATCCCACATAGGAAAACTAGAAAAAAATAAACTACTTTATATTACTCAAATTTGGGACTTGGGTTTGGGTATAAGGGGTACCAATAGTTTTTGAAGGGATGATGATCTACATGCTAGTAGGTTGAACCATATCCCACACATGCATGCAGCCGTCGCCGTTCGGCTCGGCACGATACGACACGACACAGGTTTTATTCATTCCAAAATCTTTCCGGATTTTCTCTCTTGCAAAATATAATCGTTCCATCGTGCATTATTCCATATTGTGCATTTCAGTCCCGAATATTATTTTCGTGCATTTTAGTCATCAAGTTTT